AGCACTATGACATCCTTCTCTATGAGGGCTTTAGTAGTTGGGAGGATTTTATGAAAGATTTGCTAGATGAATACTTTCAATTTGGGCATAATATTAGCCTCCCATAAACGAATCCAACTGGCCCTATCGATCCATCTAGCCATAGACCTCCAACGATCATTCTGTTTATCAAGAGAGACAACAAAATGGTAGGCTGATTTAACAGTGAACACCTCATCCGTCGTGCCATGCCAGATAAGTCTATCCTCCACATTATGACGCGGAAGAGGAATAGCTTTGATGGCCCGGCACCTAGGCGGATAAAACCACTGCCCTAGTTTTACGTTGCACCAACGCCCCTCCCCTGGCAGATGATCTCAGCAACCGGCAGGTCACCCCATTGGGTCAACCTGGGTATTAGACATTGGAGGGTAGGAATGCAGCCGAGGTATCCAGTTGGAATAGAGAAGATATGCAGACTGGCCATTACCAACTTGCCATCTTAACCCCATATCTAGTAACTGCTGCCCATAGAGGATACTCTGCCATCCACAGGACGGCCGAGAGCGGGTCTTGGCTTGGAGAAAGGTCCTAGTCGGAAAATATTTCCCTTTGTAAATCTGGGCTAAATGAGACTGGGTTTCATTAAGGATACACCATCCAATTTTGGCTAATAATGCCCGATTAAAATGCTTAAATCGGCGAAACCCCATACCCCCATTATGCTTGCTCCTACACATATTACGCCAGAAAATCCACCGAATCCTCGATTGGCCTTCATCCACACCCCACCATAAGCTGGCTACATGTTTGTCTAAGAGTCGACACAAAGATAGAGGTAGCTTGAAGCATGACATCACATGCAGCAGCAAAGCTAAGGCGATGGATTTGATCAAGGTTTCCTTACCAGCCCCATGATAACGTCCTCTGCTTCCAACCCTGTAATCTCTCTAGCAACTTTTCCTCCAAATAGCGAAAGGTAGCCATTTTTGACCGGACAATAAGAGTAGGTAACTCCATATATTTATCATGGACTCCCACCTCCCCGACTCTCAGAATCTGAGCCAAAAACTCTTGGTCTGGTATGGCAGCATTCTTGCTAAAACATACTGCAGTTTTTGCTAAGTTCACCCTCTGGCCGCTCAGATCCTCAGACTCATTTAACACTTCAATCAAATTATCACATTCTTGGAGAGAGCCTCGAAGGAATAAATAAGAATCATCCGCAAAAAAACAGATGAAAAATACAAGGAGCACGAGGGGCTACTTTTACCCCTTCAAGTTTCCCAGACTCTATTGTTTTGCCAAGGAGGGCCGCAAATCCCTCCGTACAGATCACAAACAAAAGAGGAGAGAGGGGGTCCCCTTGTCGGAGTCCCTCGGAGGGCGTGAAAAAACCCGAAGTAGTGTCATTCAGGAGGATTGAAAACAATGTTGATTGGAGGCATTCATGTATCCATTCTATCCAAACGAAGTTAAATCCCATGTTCTCCAAAACCGCTAGCAAAAAAGGCCATTCGACTCTATCATAGGCATTTTCCATGTCAACCTTCAGAAGCATGTACCCTTTCTTGTCGTGTATTTTGATTTTCAAATAGTGCATTAACTCATGACCAATGAGAATATTATCAACGATTTGCCTCTCACGGATGAAAGCATTTTTTCCTTCGGAGACCATCTGAGGCAAGAGGCCAACAAGCCTTTCAGCCATGATCTTAGTAATGATCTTGTAAAAAAACTGGCACAGATTGATTGGTCGAAGTTGCCGCATAGTCTCAACATTATCTACCTTGGGTATTAAGGTCAACCACGTATGATTAAAGCTCCGGAGCATTCTACTCGTTTCTAATATTGAACAAACAGCTTCAACCACCGAGTTTCCAACAATTTCCCAGAAGGATTTAATTTTTTTTTCCAGTGAACCGATCGGATCCCGGTGCCAGTTTCGATCCCATTGAGAAGACCGTTTTTTTTGCACTTCGTTAGGTAGAACCTCCGCCGTAAGAATGTCATTCATTAACGGGGTATCACTATGAGCAATGGGAAGGGCAGCCACACGTTCATCCATGTTTAGCACATGGTTCTCCGAGGTGAAGAGATTCTGATAGAAAGAACTGGCCATGTTTGCCTATAAATAAAGAGATAATAAAATGAAACGACGGAAGTTCCTTTGAATGGAGTGGGTAGACCAAAATATACTTGGTTCAAATAAAAGCTACAGGGAGCAGAAGGTTCCAATCCTCCAATACCTAGGATACTTTATGGCTACAATCCTTGGCCCTGCATAGTCTATTTTTCTCCCAACCTTATACTATGTTTAGCTAAAAATCCACAATCGAGAGTTACAATTAAGAAATCTTGATCGACTAAAAACCTAAATCAAGTATATAAATTTTTAGAAATGTCTTGATTATCGTGATCGAGAAATTTATTCATGATCAAGTTATACAGAATTTTTAGTATATTAATATTATTATCAATGTGGACCCATGGCCCCTAAAATTAGGGGGAAATATTAATGACTACCTTCAATCGTAGTTCGAGTTTAGAGTAGGGGCAAATTCATGATTTTTAAGGGTGCTCAAAATACTCATAAAATTAGAGGCGGGAGAAATTATTAACCCTCTCATATTAGTTTGAGTTAGAGGAAAAAGATAAAGTAAAGAGAAAGTATCTTTGTGATTCATTACACTACAAATCATTTAACCTTATGTTTAAAAAATAAAAATGTAATTATAGTTGTTCACAGCTAAAGTTATTTTGGTTGAAATTAAATATGATATTGATTTTTTTTCCTTTTTGCCAGAGGTATCCCACAAGAGAAAACAACAGAGATACGAGAATATGTAGGACCTTTGCAGGTCAAATCACAAAGGAGGAAAAGGGAAGAAGCGGTGGACGATCCAACAATGAGAGGGTTTTTTTGCCACGATATGGGCAAACCTATTATACTTACATTCGACTAGAATCCATGACTGAGCTTCAACCCTTTCAGGGTGAAAGTTAGGAATCTAACACAAGCTGTCAGATGAGAGCAGTGCAATGACACCATAAAATTAGGTGAAATCCTCTAAAGCTTCATTGTTGTTATGAAGAAGACTAACACCCCTATGAGCAGTTTCACCTACAAAATGAACAAACATATAGGTTGCAAAGTGGCCGAATCTCCACAAATGGGAAAACAACAACACAAAGTTGTAGAAACTTGATGGCCCCTACAGAATCAATAGGGATCGACTTGACGTGTCTAGGAAGCTGGATAAGGCCAATACATGTTGTGTGAGGTCAATGACATTGAGGTCAATCGACGGTGTGCGAGCCCAACGACGTTGCATCTGTTTAACAAGTTTGGTTGTGGTACGTTGTTGTAGGTCCAACCATGTCGCGAGTTCAGCGGAGCCATGAGTTCAATGACATTGTGGTAGTTGCGAGCTCTACAATGCCTCAAGTTCAACAATGTCGTGACTCATACGACGTGGAACCATGAGGAATTACATTTCAATGAAGGTAACACACCCGAATCAAATTTCGTGACTGAGTTTAATTACATTTTTTCATATTATGAAAACACTTCATGGTATTTTGTCGTAATTTGTACTAAATCAAATATCTTATAGTTTTGAAATAATATATATTTATAAAAAAATTTATATTATTATTTTAATCTAATTTATAAAAATAACGACCTTTAAGTAAAATTTCTAGGTCCACCCCGAATTGCATGAATATTTATTTAAAAAACATCTCAACCCAATTTTAAATTAACTTAATTTATCAAAACCTATATCTAGATATGTCGACCAGCAGGCCATGTCCAAACTAATTCTCCTTTAAGAGTTCTGGAAGGTATGTCAAAATTGTCACTTAAAGTCTTGGAAGTGTACATGATTTATAAACATGTGCGTCATTGAATCTTCAACGCTTTTCTTACCAAAGAAAGAAACGTATTTAGAAGAAAGAAATGAACCTTAAAACTTTGTCGTTTTCCCAATACCCTACAGTGAGACTCGACCTGGGGTCACTATTCTCAGAAGATGCCATTCCATTACCTTTCACTTGTCCATTCTAATTCTATTGCCTTTTTTTCTAATCGCAATTCCACGCAAAATATAATTCTCAATTAATTAACTTGACAAATTGGAGTTTTTCCTGCGACATTTCTTCATCCTATATATTGCTAAAAACATATTACAAGTAGTAGAATCTAGAATAAGTGAAAATGTAAACTAAAGTTCTATAATGTGCCTCATTTTTATTGATTAGGTGAGAACTTTTGTAACTGAAATCATTAAGAGAGTAAAGAACGTTGGATCAATCACTTTTATTTTCATTATAAGATAACATGAGCGCAATGATTAGAGACATTGCTTTCATATCCGTTAGAAGACTCAAAATCAAAGAACAAATTTACGAATTAGAAAAACATTTTAATCTAAATTGATCTATTTTGAACTTAAAAGAACGTTCGTGCGTCTGATTCAATTACTTAATTGAATTAACCACAATCTTCCATCATCATCATAATTATGAAACGATGACAAATTCTTATTATCTCAAACGTCAAATCAAAAAGTCGAATTAAATTCCAAAATACCCTTCTTCCCTTGCATGACACCTCTTTCATGGAAAACTAAAGCTAGCAACTTCATGCTATAGCTGGCTAGCCAGATTTGAACACAAAGAAGGTTAATTGAGTGAAGAAAACAGGGGAGGAAACCAGCAAGAACAGAAAGAAGTCACTCCAATTCTCATTGATTGGGCTCATATAGATAGATATATATGAATATGCTACAAAGTACAATCATTACTCTCTAACTTTACAAGAAGGTGGAAGGGGCAAAAGGGACTACAATACCCAAAAAGCTGCAACAAACAACCCACAAAAAAACAGACTACTCTGTTTTACTCTGAACTCTCTGTTTTTTTTTACCAATCAGGCTTACTTGTAGCCGTAAAATCAGAACAAGTGGTCATCAGTTCCTCCAAATAATCAGCGCCCAAATCCTCCAACACCACCAGATTCAATGACGGCGATGATCCCTCTCTTTCCTCACTTTCCCGATCATTTTCCGCCGCATGGAGTGCTTCCTCTTCAGAGCGATCACAGGGGAGCAGGCTTCCTCCCCCGTCGCCTGGAGGTTGCAATCCATGCCCTCGAGCGACTCCGCCACCTTCTCCGCCGGGAAGTTCAGTATGGCACCGGACCCTCTCATCGAGAACGCCGCCTGGTCGTATGCCAGCGCCGCGGCCTCCGCGCTGTCGAATGTACCCAGCCAAACCCGCACCCCGTGCCGGGTCGAATCCCTGATCTCCGCCGCGAATTTCCCCCACGGCCGCCGCCTCACCCGCGGAACGACTTCTCCTTCTTCGCCGGCGGAGGCGGGGACTGCGAATTCTCGCAGCCGGCTGAGCTGACTTCTTCTTCTTTGATCGTCGCTACCGTTGCCCTGCTGCTGTCGACGGCGGTGTAGATGAGACCGAAGAGGAGCATTTCTTCCGAGTCGTTTTCGTCAAAGGGTAGCGGCTGGGTTTGGTGGAAGGATTGGCCGGAGAATTGGTCCGGGGAGCAGAAGTCGGAGGATTCCGGCGAGGAGAAGCCGGAGCTTCGGAAGTTGAAAATTGGGGATTCCATAGGGAATTGGAGATGGATAGGAGAAAGTAGTGTTTGTATGTTTCGTTTTCTTCCTTCCTCTGTTTTCTAGTTTGCGAAATTTGAAGCGTTAGCGCCCTATTTATATACCCAAAAAGGGACTAATGAATGTTGTTTAACGGCCCAGCTAGAAAAAAGGTAAAAACTGGGGCGGTAATAGTTAGAACTTAGAAGTAAGAAAGTAGTTACCGGCGCGGTTAAATTATTTCTTCTTTCAACCAATGTTTTATTCTTCTTTTTCTCCTCCAAGCCCCGAGGTGCTACTGCTCTGCTAGTGGGCGGGATTCGTTATTTTCATGGGCCCGGAGAATGTGGGCTGAAAAGCTTATATCTGATATAACCGTATAGTTGGTTTTTTGGGTCGTTTGGATGAGGAATTGTAACGGATCAATTTGACACAATTGTCTCGTTTTTAGACAATAGTACCAAATTGTCTCGTTTGCCAGCAAAAAATTTGGATGGATCAATCTCCCTGAGGTATTTTGAATTGATCCGTTTTGAGTCAATTTCAATTACCTGGGGTGGGGGCAGATAATTCGAATTGACTCGTTTTAATTGCCTCGTTTATAAGACGAGACAATTGATCAAATTGACTCATTTCTAGATTGATCCATCCAAACGACCCCTTGGTTATTTTGCCGGTTAACTGGATATTCATTAATGTAATGATTTGACGTGATTATATCAAAATAATTTATCAATAATCTAACTTATAGTAGACCTTCTTTTTTTCAATTGTAAAATTTTGTATAATTTTTCTTACATATGCATGTGTTCTTTCTTAAGTTGTTATCATTAAATATAAAATAATTTAACCTAGATATATATCAATACATAATCAACTCATTCCAACAGAAGTACACAATAATACAATATACCGTAAAACTTTATTAAAGAAGCATACACTGATAAGAGACCCAACAACAATTACTCAACTCGTAAACCCCACCAAATTATATGGAAGTTTAATGTTACTGATTGTTGTCGAGCAATTGTGTGCAAGTTCGACTTTATATTATGTTCCTTCTAAAACTTTTCATTTAAATTATTCTCATTTGAGTCTAACTTACTATTACAACTAGGATAGGCAAGGGGTCGTGTAAGCCTTCAAACAACCCATTATTTTCGGCGTATGTTTGCAGCTCATGGATGTCTATAATTTTTTGCTCTAACTATAGGATGGTCGTAATCGGTTAGTCGGTTAACCGTTTAACCATCGGTTAGTTACTAGCTAAATTTGGCTATCGAGAACCGACCGTTTATCATTTAATCGGTTATCAGTGTAACTGTTAAGCATCGGTTCTGATTCAGTTATCGATTACACCGCTAACGGAATAACCGTTTATCAGCCCTAATCTGATGTGGCTAATAAATCGTTGATCCGATCAAATAATTGGTTTGAGATTCAATAGTTTGATTGATGTCCAATCTTTGTACCAGTGTATATTTTTGTAAATAAAAATAAAAATGAAGTAGTAATGTAAAAAATTAATGAACTGAAATGAAATTTTCCTTACGATATATCCAAATGAAACTCACCTCCCATAAAAAAAAGGGCAATGTCTATTTTTTACCTAAATCTTTTCAAAATTCTTTTATTTCACCCAAACCTATCAAAATTCTATTTATTATCCAAACTTATAGTAACTGATCAAAGTCTGGGCATTCGTTCTGTTACGTTACTTATTTCGTAACGGAACTCCACGTATGCATCCATGTCAGCATTCATTCCGAAATGAAAAAAAAAACTCTTATATCACTAAAGAAAATAATTAGAAATTTAAAAACTCCATAGCTCTGCAACTCCATCGCTCTCTTCTTCCTCTATTCTCCGCCTCCGCCTCCACACCACAAAACCTATTTCCATTAAACCAACCCAATGCCCAACCCCACAAGTCGTCGTCGCCCGCCGCCGCCCAAGCCCGCCGTCGAAACTAAGGAGGAAATCGACGCCATCGCCCGACATCGAAACTGGAAATCCAGATCTATGAATTGGAAGAACAAAAAATCAAAAGATGGGTTTTGGGGAATCGAGTTTGATGATGGGTCAGAGCCGGAAGGGAGCAGAGATCGTGAGGATTGCTTGGACTGACGCTGACGTTGGTGCTGGTGCTGGAGGATTGGAGGAAGATGAAGAGGAGCAGGCAGCTTCTCTGATTGGGCTTCCGATTCCGACAACGGCGACGAGGGGTTTCCCCATATGCCCCAGCAACGACGACGGCGACCAAATCAATCAAGATCGAGTCGTGCTCGGTGGAGAGTTTCACCGGATTTGGAGAAGCGTCGTTGAGGAGGAGGCCGACACGCTCCGTCGGCGGCGGTGGCGGCTGTAGTTGTGTAGGTTGAAATTAGGGTTTATGGTAATTTTCTCTTTCTCCCCTGCTTCCCTCTGTAGTACTAGAACATGGGTTTGTTTCCAGTTTGTGATTTTTGAAGATTGAGGAAGCAGCTGCGGCAGGGGAGAGGTGGCGGAGGGGAGGGGAGGGGAAGGCATTTTTAAATATTTTTGTTTTTGTAATTTTTTGTTATTATTATTATATTAAAAATAGTAAATTATAGTTTTTGATGGCCACGGGGAAGCCAACTCATCATGGTCATGCTTAGTCAGCATTAGTAACAGAAAAGTTGACGGAGAGTTAACGTTTGGATAATTATTAGGAATTGAATAGGTTTGAATAAAATAAAAGAATTTTGAAAAGATTTGAGTAAAAAATATACATTGCCAAAAAAAACATTCCTAACTCCTTGACCCATCCACAGTCCCATTCCCGCTCTTTTCCCTCTCTCTCTTCCATCCTCCTCGTCTCTCTTTTTCACTCTTTCTAGCGGCCAGACCATTAATTTTCTGTAGACCATTTTGGTATCGGAATATGCTCAAACCTGGTCCAACTGGTAAAGGTTTAATAACATGGGCCTCACTGCTGATTTGGACAAGGCAGCAGGTCAAACGTGGAAAACCCATTTGGAATGTGGATTTTGTGGCGTTGTTCTAGTTATAGGGTTATAGGTATGATAAATCTCTCTACTATGTTGTTTTATCAAATATGTCTCTCTATTATTTTTTTAACATCAAACATACCTCTTTGTACTTTGGAAAAATTATCAAACATGTCCTTATGTTAATATTTTCATTAAAAATCATAAATCATTGTTGAACCGAGATTCAGACGCCCAACATCGGCAAATGAGAGGAAAATGACAATTATGCACCCTAATTTATATCACTAGGTTTCTTAAAGTGAAATTATTAGAGGTATTTGGCTATAAAAAAGAAACAAAAAAATTATAAAGTAAAATTATGAGTGATTTTAAACATTTGTGTCACTCAACCAAGGTTTGACCTTGGTTGTCAGTTTTTTAATAAAAAATTGAGGGATCTCCTACAGTAACTTGAGTATAATTTTAAGGCAAAATACACTTGTGTAGCCAAAACTTTGACGGTTTGGACAAATATAGCCACTTTTGGCGAAATACCAAAATAGGCACGACGTTAAAATTGACCACACTTATTTTAAACCATTGATTGAAGAAATAAAAAATAAAAAATAAAAAATAACTAAAAAAATAAATGCAACATGAGTTGCCGGTCACCACATTCCCAAGTTACCTTTTTTAATTTTTTCTTTCCTTCTTTCATATTTAGTTGTCTTTCCATATTTTAACATTTCCTTTTTTAATTCTTATTGAATTAAAAGTGTTACGTAAGGCTTCCGTAATAACTTAGTTCTTTACGTAACACGACGTTAATACTCATTACGTAAAGAAACCTTCTATTACGTAAGGCTTCCATAATTATATTTTACAACTGTTACGTAAAATACACATTCACTACGTAAAGGTTACGGAATGATAGTTATTTCTTATGTAACACTTAAATTGAAAGCGTTACGTAAGGCTTCCGTAATGACTTAGCACTTTACGTAACGCAAGGTTAAGACTCATTACGTAAAAAGACCTTCCATTACGTAAAGGTTACGAAACGATAGTTATTTCTTACGTAACAGTTAATTCAGTAGCGTTACGTAAGGCTTCCGTAATGACTTTGTATTTTACGTAACGCGAGGTTAATACTCATTACGTAAAGACACATTCTATTACGTAAGGCTTCCGTAATGACCTTTTACAACTGTTACGTAAGATTATCATATGTTACGTAACCATTACGTAATGCCTATTGTGTTTTACGTAATACAACTTGTGAAACCTGCTATAGCAGGTAAAAAAATTCAAGTTACCTTACTTCAAGTTACCATAGAAAATCCCATTTAACAAAAGGACATATTTGATAATTTTTTCAAATACAGGAACATGTTTGATGTAAAAGAAATGCTTGATGTAAAAAAATAATAGAGTGACATATTTAATAAATAACATAATAGAATAACATATTATACCTATAACTCTTAATAATACCGTCGCAACCTCTAAATTGACAGTCAAAGTCTCGCAGTCTCGACTTGCTCATCGCTAGATATTGATTATTGAACGAATACTGGAAACCCATAAAGATTAATCACGGGAACCCTCAAACTAAATTCATCCATTGACTCCCTGAAATTCAAAAGTTTTCCCTTCAGTCATCATGAGCAAAGAAAAGGCCTGCAGATTCAGTTCACCATATCCTCAAACTTTTCACTGTAATTTCACTTTCTGGTGGCTAGATCCCCGAGCTTTCTTATCGCTCTCTTCAAGAAAGGATTGGGTTTCATGTGAATTCAGTTAGGGAAAGAATCATAAATAGCTCAACCCAAATGGAAAATATTCAGAATCAGTCATACTATTTTGTTCTCAGGACTCGTGAACAGTCAAAAGATTTGACAGCGACTTGTTCCTGCCAGCAAACGTAACTCGCGACTGGACTAAGAGCAGAGCATCTGAGGTATTATTAGTAGATTTAGAAGGGGATCGATCCACATCACTTACACAATTGTTTTCATTTTATGGACCAGCACAATAGGATGTCAATTGAATCCGAACTTAGG